GCCTCTCTGGCACCCCACATTCCTGGGCATCACCCTGACCTCCCACACGAGGCTCTCTCCTTCCCTAATTGCTTCAGCCAGCTTGGACTTGAATCCAAATTGTCTAGACTGGTGTTCTAAGTGAATACTGGGGAAAGCTGGGATGACTGGACCTTGAAGTGTCTTTGCTTGCATACCTTTCCCTTCATTCATCCCCAAGACCAGTCTTCAACCTTTGTTCCTGCAGACTTTGAGCTCAGAGCTCTCTGAGCAGATACTCATCTGAAGTCTGAGATTTGGACTGCCTTCAAGAATCCAGCTGTGTCTTTTGCTCAGGGCTGATGTTCTTACATTTGCATTATTAACTTGCCCTCCAGCTCTGAGCCCTAGTTCCTCCTGAGCCTGCATGTCATCTTGGCCGCACAAGCCAGACTGGCCAGTCCTCTGCAGCTTGCCTCTGAGTGGCTGCTCTGCCATAGCCACGTGTCTGTGGCAGTTCCCAAGAAGTCACGGAGCAAAATTAAAATTAACGTTTAACGAAAGTGCGGTGGGCCAAGCACCTAAGCAAATTCTCCTGTGGAGTCTAGAAAGAATGCTGAACAGATTTCTTCAATTACCCTGGATGAGAATTCTGAAGGGGCCTGGTGGTGGTGACCCAGGCCTTTAATTCCAGCACTTGGGAGATACAGGAGGCAGATCTCTGTGAGTTTGAGTCTAGCCTGTTCTACAGGGAAAGGTTTAGGACATCCAGGGCTGCATAGTGAAACCCTGTCTCAAAAAAAACAAAAAAAAAAAAAAAAAAGAATTCTGAAGGGATGCCTAGATAATAAAGTAAAATAAAAACTGCCTGAGACAAGGGTATATATCATCATCACTGGAAATGGAATGATCTGGAATCAACAGTTGATCCTTTTATTGGCTCTTTTTATAGATAAGGATCAATGCCTTAGCCAACATAACTCTTAGGAAAACACAATAAAATTAGGACCAGAAGATTTCTCCCTTCTGGACATAATGTTCTTATTAAATAAGTGCCCAGTGTCTATCAAAACCACACCATTGCAGTTTAACCATGCTGGAGTATGTGATTGGTGTTAGGAAAGAAGGAAAAGATGCAGGCAGTATATTCCTACCACAAAGCTTGTATGAAAATGGTGAAAGCAAGGCACAACTGATACAAAACAAATATTAGTTGATGCTCACATAACCAAAATGTCCTCATGTGTGAGTATTTACTAATCTATCAAAGTTTTTCGTTTGTTTGTTTGTTTTTACTTTTTGGCTTTTCAAGACCAGAGTTTCCCTATGTTCTGTGTAGCCATGGCTGTCCTGGACTTGCTTTGTAGACCAGCCTGGCCTCGAACTCACAGAGATCAACCTGTCTCTGCCTCAGCCTCTGAGTGCTGATATTATATCTATCATGATTTTAAAACTACAAATAACATTAAATAAAGTATAAGTATAAAATGGAGATCTTATTACCCTAACATCAACTGTTTTTTATTGCTCACATTCTTCATTGTGAGCTTTGTTTGCACATGGCTCTCTGTAATGGAAGAACAATTAGTCTCCTGTTCTCAAATGAGACTTGCTAGTTAGGAGACGGCAACATGACCTAGAAGTTTCTTCCCCTTTGGTTTCTTTACAGGCCATATTGGAACAGCCCCTACGTGAGCCTGATGCTGTCTAAAAGACAAGTGTCCCCTGAATGAGCAAGGCTGTCAGCCACAGCACTCCTTTTGTGTGTGTGCTCATGCCTGTGTTCTAACTGCCAAATTAGACAGTCATTACTCTGTCATTTGCTGTGTCTTCTAGGGGTTGTGGATTCTCTGCATTAATATTGTTAAGAAATTAAGCCGTAGCTATTTGTTGCTGAAATGCTTCTCAGATCCAGTTATTATTGAAAGGAAATGCTTTCATACCGATTCCATTGATATTTAGTTGAACATCAATGTGGCTGTGTGCGCATGCTCACTTGCTGTTTCCTGAGCTATCCTCAACAGGTCAGACTTTCCTGCCTGGAGGCCAAGCTCTAGGTTATACGGAAATTATTCAGAACTTTGGGGTTTGTTTGTTTAAATAATCCTTCTTAACAAAGCCCCAAACTTGAAATGTATCCAAATATAATGCCAGGACATGGCTTCAGCAGCCGTCTGGTATAAGAATGTATAAAATGTCGTGATTTCCAGTGACCTCGCTTCACATAAACACACACACATCCTCACTTGTGACATACAGAAGCTAAAGTAAAAATTAAGCAGCGTTGCTATGAGTAATGGAGTGCATGCTTGGGGCTTTTCTGGCCTCTGGGAGCTCCCTCCTACCCCCACATGGTGCACGTAAACTCATACATGCTCACACACATACACATCAAATAAAAAAAATAACCAATAAATAATTTTAAACAGTTGCATTTTAATAAAAGAATGAAACCGTATTTCAAAGGACAGCTTTTAAGATCTTCGATTTTTCGGTCAAGCTGAGGTGTAATACCACTGTATCTGCCACCAAGTCCTTCCAGTGGAAAGGAAAAAAAATAGACATTTGTGACGTTTTTATATAAGAAACCAAAACTATGTAAAACTTTCTGCTCTGACAGTGTTGACAGCCCTCCGTGTGATGCTCATTTCCCAAGAACCGAATGGAAAATTACTGGATAGGGAGTGTTAATACTCTCCCTCGAGATTAACAAGGCTCCCTGTTTATGAAGTTTTAGGGATATCAGAAGTTTGTGCAAAGGCATTTTCACCACAGATTAACTTTTCTTATATCACGCTTTTTGAAATTAAATTATCCTTTGAAACTGATATAGTCTCCATGATAATAAGTGATGATAATAAACTAAATTTATATTGGGAAATGTTCCACAAAAGCTACCTCTGCAAATTCCCAGAAGCTCTTGTGATTCAGTAACTAGTCTCACTAACTTGGTCAGTCAGGACATTGAAGACTCTCGAAGAAAGTCGTTCTGAATTCTCAGAGCAAGCCAATAAAAACCCATGATTTGAAGTTATGGCTGGTTACCCAGTACATTGTTTTCTCCAGCGGCCCAAGTGCTGATTACAGCAAAGCAGCCATTAAAAGTCCCCCAAAGGGTTACATTCAAACTAGTTTATTGCTTCAACCAATATATTTTATCTCAGTCAAATTCAGAGATTTCCATTTTGTGCTCCTTCAACTGTGGTCCTCCACCTGCTGTGCTGAGCAAGCACAGTTTGAAAGCCCTCTCTTAGCAGTACAAACAGGCACCTCTGTCTTCCCTTGTGCCCAAGCTCTCTCATCCACTGTCCTCCCTCTCAGCAGGACACTACCGTGTATAATGTGCTTACAATTATTTTTAAACTTCTTTCCATGAGGTGATATCTGCGTGCCAACTGGGGAGAGAATGTAATCAATCCACCCCACAGAAGTTGAACCGTGGGTCATGTGAAAGACAGGAGGTGTTTGGTGGAGTCTCCATGAGGCTGCTAAGCTCACTGTTGTGTGACTGTATCACTCCAGATCTGAGAGCTCCCAGTGCTCACAGGATAGTCAGTCATGGAGTCAGCCCAGGTGGGAGAGAGTTTCTCCTGCATTAATTATGGGGGTGGGGAAAGACAAAAGGGTAGGAGAGAAGAAGGGAGGAGAAAAATGGAGGCAGGGGTGGGGTGGAGAAATGAGGAAAGAAAGGGGAGAAAAGAAAAAGACAAGAGACAAAGGAAAGGCAAGAGAGAAGGGAAGAAGGCAAGACCGGGCACACATGTATGGGTCTCTGTTTTTTGAGGAGTGGTAGCATTCATGTGGCCAAGAAAGATGACTTTCGCGAAAGGTTGACATCATCCAGCCAAGATCCCAGTTTCTGAATCTGTGTATGAGAAGTTACTAATTGGGCAATGGTGATATAGTCAAAGAACTAGATGAAAGCACAAACTACTCATGTTGAAGAATAACACAACTACACCTGTGCTGATGGCTGGGACACCTGTAGATTACCATCTAGTTTAGTTGCTAGGCAAATCTGGCCTGTAGGTAAGGTAAGGCTGGCTCTTGGAAGGGCATCCCCCTGCCACTCTAGCAATCTCAACTCAGGAAGTGCCAGCAGCAGCCACTTAGGTCCAAGTCTGAAAGCCTCAGTGTACCACACTTTTTTTTTCTTATGCCAAAAAAGTGAAATAAGAGAAAGAAATCCCTTTCTGACTAATGGAAAATGAGCCAGGGATGCCAACCAGTCCTCCTCCTCTCCCTCACCTTCCCTACCTAAGGCTTATTCTGTTTCCCAGTCATCTGTTATAGCAACAGAAGCTTGGCTCTTTCTTTCTCCATAATCCTGCTTATGTGATCTTTCCAAAACATTGGCACATTGAACTCCATTTGATTAAGGATCTTAAACTCCCAGGCCCTGCCTTTGCCTGAGGAGAAAATTTAGAAACACCTAAGCCAAGGACTTCTGTGACCAGTGGCAGATTTAACTCTACAGTCTCCACTTCTCATTAGAGCTTCACCCAAATCTTGTATGAAATGGTCTGAAAATGGTCATGTTCTTTCCTTGTGCCATGTCTGCTACAAGGCTGCTTCACCGAAAGCTTCTCAGTCTTTCACTCTGTAACCAGCTGCCCATCATCATCTCTCCCACGACATCTTACTGCTCTAACCTGCCCTACATGCCTCCTGTGTCCGTAGTCTGAGATGCTGCTTTGGTGGCTGCTCTGCTCTTACGCCGTCACTTTCTTCATGGAGATACCTGTGAGCATCCGCTTATTTTCCTATCTTCACACTACATTTTGAATTTTCTTCTGGACCAATAGCATAGCTCAATTGAGTAAACTTTTATCAAATATTAATGAATTAGTAATATTCACTAAGAAGAAGAAGAAGAAGAAGAAGAAGAAGAAGAAGAAGAAGAAGAAAAGGAGATAAGAAAAAGAAGAAGGAGGGAGAGAGAAGAAGAAGGAGAGATAAGAACCAGAAGGTTGGGGCATAAGGTGATGATGGCAGAGTTGTTTCTTTGTGGTGTTAATTAAATGGTTTAAGAGGAAGAAACCGCATCCCCTTTCTTTTGGCCAATTGAATTTAATGTCTTAATTGGCCATTCAAGTGGAGCAAAGGAAATAACCCTTTAAAACTAGGCAAACTTAAGTATTTGCCTTGTAACCTGTCAGGCGGAACATTGACAAAAACAAAACCAAACAAACAAAATAAAAATAAAACAAACAAACCAGATCTAGTTTCCAATCTCGCACAATTAACTGCTTTTGGGCAAAACGTTTGCCCATTTTAGAGTCAGCTAACTGATCTATAAACAATAGAAACTCCATAATTTTTAAAGATAAATATTATAAAGTACCTACAGTATTGTGTAGAATATTTTAAGATCATAACAATTAAGGATTTTACAACTAGGAATCTAACAAATATGCACCATAGGTTGTGGAAGTTGAATGTTCTCTGATTTGGCAATCAGCTAATTCAAATCAATGAAGTCAAAGAAGTGAGCCTTGAAATTTAAAATGGAGCGTTAATCAGAAGAAACCATCCTGACTCAGAAGTGGGGAAAAAGAAGAGGATGGAAGAAGGAAGGCGAAATCCAGGTCCACCAGGGGGAGTCATGACTGTGCTCCCTTTCCTCCATGCCATACTTTACCTGCCTCTATTATAGGGACAATGTCTAGAATAAGTCATACTCTATGCCATAGAATGCCATAGAGTGGGCCAAGGGCTTCAGAGTGTTTTCTTGTGACTGTGTGGGGCAGTTTCTCCCTGACAACCACCGGCTAACCTTTTAGAGGCAGGAAAGCTCTTGCCCTCACACTGCAGTAGCCTGGCAGGTTCTCCATATGTGGAATGAGTACATTTGCCTCTTTCATCACTAGGTATTCTCTCTTTAGGTTGCAGCCATGACAGTTAGAACTATTATTATATTATTATAAGACTTACAACTCTCTGTTTCTCCCCAATTTCATGTGACTGTTGGAGAGTCTCTGTATTTCTGTATAAGCTTTGTAATCAGTTTATCAGTTTTTAGGGCAATAAAGCTGGGATTAGAGTGAATCTTAGATCAAGGTGAGAATAACGGAAATTTTACTATTCAGAACTTCAGCCCACAAATATCTGTCTGTTCACCCTCCCTAACACTCATGTGCTGGAACATTTGGTTCCCAGTTGGTGATGCAGTTTGGGGAGGTTGATGGACCCTTAAGGAGATGAGGCCTCACTGCAGGAAGTTGGTCACTGGGGCAGGCCTTATGGGTTATAGCCGGCCCCATTACCAGTGCAAGTTCTTCTGCTTCATGATTACCATAGGTTTGTAGCCATCTGGCTCTTATCTCCATGGACATGGTTGTGGCATTGTGTGCTGTTTCTGTTGCCAATGTCTTCCTAACCACCATGGACCAGCTCTTCTTATGCCTTGAGCCCAAATAAATATGTCCTCCCTCACGTTGTGACACTGTGTGCTATTTTATCACCGGGGTGACAGCAGTAACGAATGGGGTATGGAGTGCCTCGTACCACAGTAATGAATGCAGTGTGATATACCTCGTACCTCTGTGACCTTATGTTCATTTAGACCAGCTTGTGTTTCTTTCAGTGGTGTCTTAAAGCTTTCAGTACAAAGCTTTTGTGCCTTGAAGATGTCATCTCTTCATGTTTATGGGTTTTGATACTGGGATAAGTTGAGTCACTTTTTAAATTTCATTTTCCATTTGTTTCCTGTAAGTATAGGATGTATTTTATGCATTGACTTTATGGTCTGTGGACCTGGTAAATTCACTTCTTGGTTCTTGTTTTCTTCTCATGTCAAGGCTTGCCAGGGAGGACTTGCTTTCTCAGCCATATGCTTTTTATTTGTCCCTTAAATGTTTAATTAAATTTGCCACCAGCTTGTGTTTATAGAAAAGAATTTAACTATACATTTAGTTTTCTATTAAAAGGGATATGTTCAGGGCTAGAGATACTGCTCAGTGGTTAAGGACATTTGTTGCTTTTGCAGAAGACCTGGTTTGATTTCCAGCACCCTCATGGTAGCTTAGAACCTTCTGTAACTCCAGTTCCAGAGGACCAGGGGCTCTTTTTTGATGTCTTTGGGCAGCAAGTATGTACATAACACACATATATGACATGTATATGAGTGCAAGCAAGGCACTCATATACATAAAGTAAATAAGGCTAAAAAACTTTGAGGTCTATTTTCCAATTCAGTATGAATATTTCACCACTGTGTATACAATAACCCATAAGGTCTTTATGAAAGTCTGCCATTATATTTTGCACAATTCTTTCACTTTAATTAAAATTTTAATTATGAAAATGCATTGAATTTTGTCCAAAGCATTTTTGCACTGATTGAAAGATTATGTTTTATCTTAGTAACAATTTTAATATACTAGTATAGTAATTGACTTTTGAGATTTCTTTTTGTGGCAAAAATACATGAAACATAAAAATTTGCTCTCATATTTTTTTATATTAATTACAGATTATTTACTTTGTATACCAGCTGTAGCCCCCTCCCTTATTCCCTCCCAATCCCACTCTTCCTTTCTTATCTCCTCCCTGCCCCTCTCTAAGTCCACTGATAGGGAAGGTCCTCCTCCCCTTCCATCTGACCCTAGTTTATCAGGTTTCATCAGGACTGGCTACAGTGTCCTCCTCTGTGGCCTAGCAAGGCTGCTTCTCCCTCAGCGGGGGAGGGGAGAGATCAAAGATCCAGCCATTGAGTTCATGTCAGTGCTCTCATATTTTTAAATTCAAAGTTTAATGGTATTAACTGCATTAACATCCAGAATTCTCTCTCTCTCTCTCTCTCTCTCTCTCTCTCTCTCTATATATATATATATATATATATATATATATATACACTTTATCTAGATATATATATATATTCTCTAGATAAAGTGTATCTATATGTTTCACCTATAGAATTCTCCATCTTGCAAAACTGAATCTTTGTACTCTAAGCAATAAAGTTCTATCTTTCGTTACCTCTACTTCTCAAACCACTGTTTCACACTGACTTTATTATTTTGACTACTCTATAAGTAGAATTATGTAGTATTATTTTGTGATTGTCCTCCTTCTCCTAAGATAAAGTCCTCAAGTTTACTAATGGTATGGTATGTATCAAAAGTGTAACAATTTATTGTAGTGTGTGTATCTATGTGTGTATAGTGTGTGTGTGTGTGTGTGTATGTGTGTGCACGCGTTCATTTGTGTGTGTGTTGCTAGAGATAAAACCCAGGGCCTCACACCAGCTAGGAAAACACTGTAGCATTGAGCTATATCCACAGGCCCAAAAAATTGATTTGTGAATATCAAACCAACCTTGCATTCCAATTATGTATACCTATATATACATGTTTCTCTACTAAAGATCAGCCTCAGTATTAATAAAGCCAACAAGATTCAAGTAATAAAATGTAGAAAAAAAAACCCTTGAAACTTTAACTATTGACAAACAATATAAGGCTATTTTTCCCCTTTTCCCTAACCCTCCATCATCTGCAAACCCACAGGTCTAGTTCTAGACCTATGGCCCAAGAACCCTCTTTGTGTACAAGACACCTTTCTTATGTAAGTGTAGCTACTGCCATCAAAAACAAAAAAAAAACAACCTTTTTTTACAGCAAACAGAGACCATTACAGAAAACCACAATTGGATACAATGCAGATACCAACAGCTCATGGGGATCTCAGCCCCAGTGGACGCAACAACATCACAGCCCCTGGATCTTTGGCTCAGGGAACATTGCAGAAGAGAGGGCAGAAAGACTGTAAGAACCACATACCAGGAAGTCAGCTGTAGAGCAGTCCCTCTCTTTCAATTGGCTGCATAAACAAGACTCAAACAATAGCAATATCAATCAACATGTTTATATAGAAGGGGCAAATTTCACAGGGCAATTAACTTGAGAGTGGGGGAGCACAGGGCAGGTGAGGGAGGGTCAGTGGGAGGAGCTGGGCAGAGCAGAAACTACAAAGACACAAAGGTGGGAGCTGAGATGAGTCAAGACAGCACTCCAGTTGACTTTTGCAAATGGCACAGAATCAGTGAATGGAGGGGAATGCTGGCTACAATTTATATCATATCCCAGAGTAGGACCTAGTAGAGAAAGCATTTAAATGTGAAAACTGAAACAAAATAAGTGTTCTAAGGACATATAGATAGGTTTTACTGTAAAACTATAATGGGATCCAGGTATGTACCTGTAATCTCAGCCTTTAAGGGGATGAGGCAATATCACAAATTTTGAAGATATTTTGGACTGCATAGTGAGACTATGTCAAAACTACAAGACTGTAGTAGAAAAGACCTTTCTATCTATCTCTGATTCAAATTCTAAAGTTTATAGAGAAAATAACCGTAAAATCAAATGCACATATTAAAAAGAGTACCCTAAAGCATAGCTACAAATTACCACAAGTGAAATCTAAAGATAAAAATATGGCTTTAAAAATGTTGTTCATAATATTCAGGACCCCAATAGCTCTCAGAAATCAAGAGAAAAACAACTAATGATGGATTTCCTCCGGGAGAAAAACACAGAGCAGCTTAAAACTGGCTTTTGAAGATTGTATCTTTCAAAAGAAACCAAATACTGAAACTATGGTAAGGTGACATTTGTCATCTATCAGGTTGGCAAAAGCATGACACTGGCAAGACTCCTTTGGCAAGACTATAGAGAAATAGACAGTTACTCTCACAGATGAGGAGAAAAATAACAAAGTGCCTCAAACCCCATGAAAAGCAACCTGAGAGAGGGAGCATATCTGTCAACATTGTATTAGCATCACATTCACTCTTACATTTTGGTGGTAAGCCTAGGATTTAAAGGCTGAACCATCTCTCCAGTTCCACCCTTATTCTTTAAGCCAGAAATAGCTTGTCTCTGGATCTAGCCATTACTTCTACCTGAAAACATGCAAGATAGACTATGCAAAAGAATGTTTCTTATACTACTGTCGGCAATAGAAGGGCTGGAAATTACTTAAGAATTCATCACAGACCGTTTGATTAAAACCTAGTGTACCCGTGTATTTTAATACTCCATAGGTGTCAAGAAGAAAGAGGAGAACACATGGACATAATCACAGAGAAACTTCTACATTAGTTGAAGGAAAGCAATAGATTAAAGATGGGTATATAATATCTATGTGCATAAGAGAATAATACAA